GCGACTCACAGCAGTTTGCTCATTTAAGATCTTCGATGCTAGCCTATGTTTCGATAAATATATTATCTATGATAGTTTTCCTCGTTACGCTGTAAGAGTTGCTACGGATTTATTTTATATAAATAAAAATATAAGGATTTATTAAAACCGCTGCACGGTATTTTTGAATGGGGAAAATGGAGGATAAAGCAAGAAATATACTTAGTTATTCTGAATCTGCCGACGTTGAAATTAAGGAAGTATATTACATAAATAACAAGTATCAAGGTCATCTAAACCATCTGTATATGATCCTGTGTCCAGAAATAAGACGGTTTATCGCAATCGATGTGGTGGTTCAGGTAGAATAACTCATACGATTACATTATTTATGAATAATTTTTCAGATATAATTGTTTTGACACCTACACATAAACGTGCCAGAGAAATAAAAGAACTAGGAGTAAAATCATGAACATATAGTTTCTTTATATGGTGCGGAGACACATGGATTCCTGAGCGAATGGGTGAAAAAGATATACTTAAGTATATTATATGTGACGAAGTGGAAAGAGTGTCGTTAGAAATACTAAAAACAATACTTGATTAATAATTGACAAAGAATACTGCTGTAATAATGAGTGGTGATCAAGGTCAATCACCACCTTTTGTTGGACAGTCTGTACACGAATGGCTAAAGAATAATGTAAATTATTATCAGGAAATAAATGTTGACCTTAGAGCTATTGAAGAACCGCTGAAAGAACTTAAAAGATTAATCAGACTACAACCAGATAAAATACAATGTGAGATAATGCTCAAAGTAATTCAAGAAACTACTATCAATGATTGTTTGAATTTATGGAAACCTGCTAATTTGATAGTCGCAAGTAGAAATATAGTTCGTGACGAACTGCACGAAAAATTATCTACGTTACATAAAGAAAAGTTTTCAAATCTCCCTGCACCATTATGTTATCGCCCAGCAGACACTCGACGACAGAATATTGAAGTTGAAATTCCTGGTGGTGGAATACAAAATCTTGTACCATCGTAGCCTGCCACATTGATAAATTCGTTAAAGCGCAAATTTCAACTTCAGATGCAGTCTTTGTTGATAATGGTTCAGTTTCTTTCTATCTCCTTTCAACGTCAAAGACAGTCAATGCGTATTTGTATGTGCGTAATTTTCATCCACCTGTTTTAATAGTAACATGTGGTAAAAACAAAATATCTGCTTGATGAACTTCATTAGGGATGCTGACATCAAACTGTGCGCATTGAATTCTTTTAGGTGGTGGCAGGTAGATTTGCCATATTCCCTGCCGTACTAACCAAATAGCAGCAACAGAACGTGAGACTTTTGTTGCTTCAGCAAGTTTAGTAATCGCTGCTTTGCCTCTTCAATATCCTTTTGGGCTATAATAAATAGATTCCTTTATAATAGTTATATAATTAATTACTAGCCCCTAGCATTGTGTACCTTTCATAGCAGACTTTGCTAAAAAAAAAACACACACACACACACAAGCGAGTGTTTCTGAGAGATTTATTAGGTATAGAATTTAATGCATCAATCAGTTTCACATCCGTGAGATGCCGTTGCTGCAAAAATTCACTTTTGTAAGCAGCGTCATGAACATGACATGCTTGATCAATCTTATTTACTGGTTGCTCTCCTGGTCCTGCCTGATCTTAATCATCAAGTCGGATATCATGTCGAGTTACAGTACCACAATAATTATATCAAGGAAGATGTTTCTCACCGGTGTATTTATCCCCTGGAACTCCTGACAATTTCCATAATGAAGTGATGATATCTTCACCTGTCTTGGCCCCTGACTTAGTCATGGAGATAAATTTATATTTTTGCTTGCCAAATTTTACTCATTTACCGGTTAAAGCAGTCTTTGATTTATTTATTTATTTATTTATTTATTTATTTATTTATTTTGTTATTGTTGTTAATGCGGTGGGTTCTCTACATCTAACACAATATAGACTCATATTATTAAGTTTAATAATAAGATGGTTGAGATGGGGGAAATTGTATATAGTAGCATCACCCGCAGATGATTAACACTGTTACGATGTACTCAGGGAGTTTAATGAGAATGCAAAATCAATTAATGAGGAAGGTGAAGACGACGATATCATTGATTTTATCGCAGGTAATAATGAGGCACCATACATAGATGACCAAGATAGATTTATTAATAATTTAGTATATGACGATGTAATGCTGAGAAACCAACAAATCCAGCTAGTATATTTTCCAAAGGCAGAAATATGAATACAGACGTTATATACGTCACTCAACGATATACGCATATACTAAAGGTGATCAGAGATAACGGCAGTATTTTAGTTATAACTAAAGGAATAGATAAATACACGCAGAGAAATATCACTTACAACTGGTGCTCAGGAGATATGGACCCGATTAAATTTAAAAACTACTTCGCTCAAGCAGAAGCTGCCCCGCTTGGATTTATTACGATTAATTTACACGATCCGAGATCCAGATATCTTATAGGTCTGGATAAAATATTTGGTTAATTTATATCAGCAGGGAGGGTGAACGACACAAAATTGCCTGACCAGGTAAGTAAACGAAATCGCATAAAAATTTGAAGAAAAAAAATTCAGTGATGGGATAACAAAACTGAGCTAAACCAAACGAATTATTATCCGTTGTTCTCAACCGTATGGAAATAATCTTGGTCAGAGGCTTCAGTTTAACGTTACGAAACCAGTTTGTAGGATTCACCCTCTCCTCTGCTATATGATGTTGCGGGCTTTCAAAGTGGGTGGTGGACCTAAACTTTAGGAATGTTGATTTAAATTAAATGCTTACTTTGTATTCCCAAACGTGTAAATTCTACAGTAGAATTTGTTGTCCAGGTTACATAGATTACATATCCATAATCTGTGTAAAGGGACTGGTACCTGACCAATACAAGAAGCAGAGGAGATTGCAGGATTTTAGTCTGAGAGGATTTTTTAGAAGAGGTGGTTCATTGTACTTCAAATAACCAATATTCCCGTTTTTAGCCTAAAATTGTACAAACGGGGGGTGGGGTGGAGAGGACCTACGCAAATGACCACAATAAATTTCTATATGAAATAATGTAAAAAGTGCCTAAAACCATATGTGGGAAAATGTGAGAATTTTCTCTCATACTGGAGATAACGGCTCATGTAAGATCCTTTGACTGAAAAGCTCGCCTTTATGTGGGTCATCCTGAATTTCTGGAATTTTCCTTACTAATTCATTGAATATAATGAAGATAATACAACCAGCTTTTATCCTATATTTGTTTGCGTAATAATTTTGGAAGGAAAGCAGTATACTTCATTGGAAAAAGACAGTGCAATAGCCAATGATTTTTGTTTGGGTGTATAACATGACATTACAAAGAAACTGAGCAGCATATCAGTGTATCACGGTATTATACTTTTGACAAACTTTTAAATTTTATGATAAAAGTTATTATTATATTGCAGAACTTTGTGCAAGAATGTTTCACTTTGCTAAGTACTATTTCAAGCAACTGTCATCAATCAAACAATCACGAATTTGTTCATTCCTTACACTTTGTTTTCGTTGATTTATTAATATTTCAAAGGTCCCTTTTGATTTCTTCAAATTTCAGAGGTTCCCTTTTATCTATTCAGATCATAGAGGTCCCATTTATTTATTTAAATTTTAGAGGTCCTCAGTATTGAGTAAACAAAGCTGCAGCATGTATAGCGAGTTTTCTAGAAAGTGTGCATGTGTAAAACACGATGAACTAAAGCACACTGCAACGATTGGAAGCATTGTCATTGGAAGTGCATGTAGTCTCTGCCATTATCTGCCAGGGTTTTACAAATGCTCCATTATGAAAGACAGACAAACAAGTGGTTGCGATCTTAATTATATATTAGTTCTTGACTCATATTGCTTCTTCACTGTTAAAAATATTTGCAACAATGCTGGAAACGTATGGGTTATTTTTTTATTTTATTTTATTTATTTATTTATTTATTTTTTTTTTTTTGCAGTATTGTAAAAACATGGTAAAAGCATGATAGTATAATGTCAGAAAACTGGTACTGCCACCGTCCAGGTTCCCTATTTTGTTACTATGCTACAAGTTGATTCAGTAATGAGCTGGAATTGAAATAATTGCATGTAGTGTTTGCCGGACGTGACGATTAATATAAAAATGTCAGGCTTTAAGTACAGTTTGTTGTCTACCAGAAAAAGTATCTGTAAATAAATAATGCATAATTGAAAAATGACATAAACCAATTTAATCATTTAAAGATTGTCGAGCATTCCCAAGATTATATAAATGTGCTTCTATAAAATCTTGGCTATTTGACAGTTTGTAGCGATGTTTAGCACTTGGGCATCGTGCCAGACATGTAGCATGATGTCCCAACCAGTTAAATTATCCTGAAACTAGGCCAACCAGTCCTAACACTTGCATCTTAACGCTGAGTGCCAAGCTAGGCAACTGTTAGTACCATTTTTTAAAGTTTTTGGTATGACTCAGCCAGGGTTCGAACCCGCGACTAGTACAAATATATTTCACAGTAGCACTGCAACCCTCACAGGACTCTCTGAGATCCTATCTACTGAGCCTAATACGCGGAAAATTCTCAAAAAAAAACATTGTCTCCCTGTCGCGCATCACATTAGGCGCATCTGCCATCCACCCACCACCCACCCCCAAGTCAGATACAGCTAACCTGCAGAATCTATTAAGTGTTGACTTAAGTAAACAGAAATGATGTGATGTAATTATGATTTTTAACGTAGCTTTAACAGCTTTTCAGTCACATCGCTACGATGTCTGCAGTGTGGCAGTTTTTAATGATGTCTAGCATTAGGGCATCAAGCCGCAGACATGTAGCATGATGTCCCACCCAGTCACATTATCCTGACACCAGGCCGACCAGTACTAACACTAACCTCCTAATGCTGAGCGTCAAGCAAGGCAGCTGTTAGTACCATTTTTGTAAGTCTTTGGTATGACTCGATCGGGGATCGAACCCACGACCTCCCGCATCCAAGGCGGACGCTCTAACCACTATATCAACAGAGCGGTTAAACTGGCATGAAGCCAGTATGATTAGTGTTTCCCCGAGTCGGTCATATTCGCTAGCCAGGATTCCGATATGATTACACTATATATGCTTAATCGGATCAAGCAGATATTTTAGTGCTTTGTCCTGGCGACATCTATTAGATTTCATGAGTTGCCTCCCTTAGTATATAATGCCAACTAACCAACAGTAAGTAACATCGGTACGTTGTACATCGGCCGAAAATGGTGGACGCATTTGATTTCAAAAGTATACTTTGTAAGTTTAACATCTACGTACCAGTGAGAAGCCATTACAGTGTATTTTTGTGAAAGGTAGTTGTACATCACAGATTTTCTGTGTAAAATTGCTTATTTATTTATTTATTTATTAGTCCATTCGAGTTTTGTGTTCCCCTTGTTCCCCATTTAAAAACTCTATTCAAATTTGAACTTAAATTTGATTAGATGTTATGCTTGGCCCCTGCATCCAATGCAAATTCACAGACCCGAAGCACACAAATGTCTGCTTGATCTGCAAAGGTGTATATCGGGTTAACATATCAGAACCTTGGCTACAGAAGATGACAGTCGGACGGGGGAAGTTTGCATTTGTTACACTTTAACCGGACTTTATTGCGAATCCTGACAATAGAGTTCTATATGTATTCATATCACGTGCATTCTTTGACGTTGAATTTTGCCTCTGAGTCCGCTTTTCCGTTTCCCGGAATTAGGATGCATGAAAGGATCGTATGAATTTAACACTTTTGTATGCCTACCCTACTTGTTTAAGAAGATATACGGTGCGAGTTATCATATCGGGTCTATTTTTGATTAATCTGATTTCAAGGATTGTATGAGGCTGTGCGAATCGCTCAGAATTACATCATCAGTTATTGAATTGTAACTGCTGCAAATAGCACTATGAATTAATGCTATGACGTAGATTGCACAGTCGTCCGGTAGCGCATTTCCAAACAATATATTTAACCATGAAATGAAAACTCATGCTGCTTTATTTAAAGACCCATTTGCGTATATCTAGGTATACGAATCATATTTATTTTTATAATGATTAGTTTTTGCCCTTAAGAATTCTGTTTAATCTTTAATTTTTCGGGGACCCTCGTTGTAATAAAAATGGCACTAAAGCAATTTCCATTACAATGGGTGTAAGTACCTAAGGCTTTTATGAGTTCATCTTGACAGTAGTTCAGATCTAAAACTACATGAATAATAGATACAGCACCTGTACTAAGATTAATTAATCTCCTCTAAAGTTCCCAATGTATATCCTAATTTATTCCTAAGGATCATCTTTCAAGACATTTAACACTGTTTTCTAAAATTTATTTTGAATTTGTTCAATTTTTGGTTTGCACATACTCTGCTTGGTACGTTTTTGTTTTCTTCATATTCTTTAAAAATGGTAATTTACGATCGTATGTATGGTACAATATAATACCCTTCTCGGGTTGTCCTTTTCGGTCCTAATTGATTTAAAGTTGAAGACATTTTGTTGCGTGTGGCAGGTCCACGGTAGATCCGGGAAGTAGGAAGTATTTTATCTAATCTGGAATGATTTCTGCGATCTCAAGCTCTATCTTCATTTCGGCTATTATTTTCCCTCAGTGTATTTTATTCTTCGTTCTTTTGCTGAATGGCTTGTTGCATTTTTTATTTTGGAGGGTTTGTGACATAAGTTTGTATTAATATTGGTACCTGAGCATTATTTCCTTACGTCTTAATTCCCTCAAGTTCAGTGGAAGTTCTCCGGAGTAGATGTATTTTAATACTCCGGTGCACGCACAGATCGATTTTGATATGATTATAAGTAATTGTGGAAGTAACATGGTGCTCGCTGATCTTTAGACCTCACAGTCGCAGTCAAGTATAACTTGTATTAATACCCGTTATCGAGCCCGGAGCGTTTTCTGATGGTTTCCGGTGAGCAATTCTGAATTTGCAGAGCATGTTAATATTTCGATTACACAGTTTTATGAGCTCTTTCATGTGAGCTCTATGTTGTGCCATACATGTGAGCTCTTTGGTGTGCCATACATGTGAGCTCTTTGGTGTGCCGTACATTCATGGAGTAGCATTCCTAAGAAAGTCACTTGCTTTGTCTGGGGATTCCGTTAAGGAAGACTTTTTTGGTTGGTGGGGTTGGATTATTTCGGCCTCGTGTTTGCAATACTACTCTTGTTGATTGTTTTTGTTTGGTTGGTTTGGGGGGGGTGCTAATTTAAATCCCCATTTGTCTACCCATTTCTCTCTCTTGTTGAATCTTTTCTGGATTTATACGCTAACCGTTGGCTTGAGGGGTTTGAATCTTTCTATATTCCGCTATTTTCTGCGAATTATGACAGATCGAGTTCTTTGGCGTTAACAGTCCTTGACTAGATCGTTGATCATGTTAAATAGTGTCGGGCTGATAACAATTTCCTGTGACGTGCTATTGTCAAGTAAGTATTCTTTTCCGATTCTGATTTGTATCTTCATATCAGGCAGGAAGTTTGCTATCCATTTGTCCCCGTTATTTGGTAATATTAGGGATTTTTTTTAGCTGTTTAGGGCCTTAATGGTAAGTTTATCGAGAAAATATTAGCTCCTATTACGGTCATGAAAGGGCAGTGTTACAAACACAAATAAAACAATATTGGAGAACGAAGCACATTCTCGCAGTTACTTGAGGCTAAAAGTAAAAACAAGGTAAATACCTATAATAATATACTGGAGTTTTTTGTAAAAAATAAAATAAAATGGACAAATCTAAACATGGCAGATCAGAGAAGGAGGAGGCTTAATAATAGTTCGTCCACGATTAAAACTAGTTCTTAAACAATATACCTGCCACCACCACCACCCCTTAATGGACCTAAGATTCGCTTATGTCGAAGAGACAAACGAAAGGTCAAGTGAACAAGGGGAAAATGAACTAGATGACTAAACAGAACAAACAAACAGATCGTAATGACCCAACTCTTAGTTAACATATGGAAATCAAACTAATTAGGCGGTAACGATCCAAAATGGTCACAATGTCGAAAAGACCTACAAACAAGGAGGAAACAATGAAACCGACGCAAATCTCAGGGGGAGAGGACTGTTAATACTATGTCCGCCGCAGTGAGAACTAGTTCTTAATAACAAGATACCAGCCACTACTACACCCTCTCCACTTTGACGTCAGGCAGGAAATCTGTACCCCACAAGGGCTTGTAGGTTCCAGGAGCCTACCTAGGGCTATGCTAGTATATTTTCCCTAGCGCCTGTTTGTAGCACTCATCGTCATACAATACAAGACGAACGAACAAAAGGACAGGACAAGCCATGGTGGAAAATCGTCACTCCGAACGGGCTGTCAAAGTTCTGGATCCCACCCAGGTTTTTGCTAGTATGTTTTCCCTAGCACCTGTTGAAATAGGCACATGGAAACATAGAGTGTGTAGCTCCGCCCACCGGGGACTGTCGATCGTAGTCTCAGAAGTGCCGATGATGTCCTTGCGGTGTAGGGTTGAAGTTCTTGAAGATGTTGTTGGTAGATGGTGTATAGTGAAAAGAATTAGGTGAACCGCGTTTATTTATAATAGTGGACGAGTGGATCGAAACGGATTGAAATTGTTTACCAATCCCAACACATGTTACGAAATTCGGTCACTACTCGGAGACTTGTCTTCAAATCCGAAGAGAACTAACCGTGACGTAACATTCCCTATATAGGTGCACTAGCATTTGTGCGCAATGAATTTATGCGATTGTTTTGTGAAACATGACGGAATTGATGCGACATTGTGTTTTGAAATATGACGGAACCTACTACATTTGTGTAGTGCTTCCACATTCATATATTTGAATTATATATATATATATATATATATATATATATATATATATATATATATATATATATATATATATATATATATATATATATATATATATATATATATATATATTCTCGCTGCTATTAATAGTACCAATATTATTAGTATAGTCATTGATTTATTTGCTTTCGTTTTTGTGCAGAATTTCAGCTTGATCTATTTTATCTTAGCAAGTTAAAGGAGTGAGTAGTTCTGGATCAAAATGGCTTCACAGCCACAAACGAAAGAAAAAGGAGGAAAATAAGGACTTAATCCTTACGGAAATGCAAATGACGGAGCAAGGAAGAATCCTTTTGGTCCGCAGAGCGCCAGGATGCCAAGTCATAAACCTAAGGAAGATAAGCACCTGTACAGGAATAATCACTCTATGGAAATTAGAGGGGAACCTGTCAAGAATTTAGGGGACAAAATGGTGGAAATACTATTCTGGCCTACCTCTAGAAATACCACTGGCAGAATTAGTAATTAAAATAGAATATAAATTTTCAGTCAAGGCAACAATGTCACAAATGGCAACGTTTTGGGGTTTTCCAACGGTTTTCACCGGGATGCGCTTTATCACTGTGAATGAGGAAGATGCTCAGAAAGGTCCAGCCTTCTTCTACGTCCTAGGAATTCTTATCAAGTCCTGGCATCGGTGTTGTTAACTACACTGACCATGCCATAAGTGTGGAAACCTCGGCCATTTAACGAGAGAATGTAAAAACCAGGCACCTCCACAAAATAAAGCACCCAACACCAACACCAATATCTATGCTTCAACAGTAAAGAAGGATCAACCAATAGCCAAGAATTTAGAAAGCCTGCTGCAAGAAGTCTCAGAGCCTCCTGAAGAAAATGCGGAAGTAGGAGAAACTAACCCTCCGCATCTTTAAGCCAGAGGACGAGCATCGAAAGTACCTCAATGGAGAAAGACACATGGGAGAAAGCAAGCCAAGCATCTTCAGCAGAAAGAAAGAAAAACAATTGAGAGGAAGGACAATTCAGGAATTAAAAGCAAAAGGAAAAAGGAGAAAAGCCAAATTAATGGAAAAAGAAAAGACACCATTTTGTGTTCTTGAATAACCAAATTTTGACAAGACCACTGAAAGCTCGGATGGAAATAAGACAATTGAAGAAACTCTAATCCCAGAT